ATCAATATGGAGTGTCTCCTTCTCTGGATTGTCTAATGAAGATTGCATTGTACAGCATTGTGCTGCTACATAATTCATTTGGTTGGCATGGCAATAAACCTTTACAATACCATAACATATACACTACAAAAGGCCTATGTGTCCGTCTACTCATGTGGAGATGATACACTTAAGCACTAAGCTACTGAGATGCATCTTGTCTGTGCAGCCGGAGAGCTACCTTTCCAAGTAACAAGTGCCTGTGGTTCTGTATTAGCCAGCAATCTCTCTCACTTACTGTGCGTTTCTGCTCTCTCCCTCTCTCTCTCTCTCTTTTCCATTCACAGTAGATAAGTTGCAGAGCGGGTAGACAGAGAATAATGACGTTGAGCATGTACAACAACTGCCTCCCTAGGAGAGGGCCCTAGGGAGCATTTTGCAGTATTACGCAGTCAGCCATAACTAAAACATCATTATAACCCCATTCACAGCCCTGACCAGGAGACGGGATTGGCTGGAGAGAGGGGATGGATGGACAGTTGGATGGATGGACAGATGGATGGAGGGCTAATCAAATTAATTATATTTTCTTGTTTAATCTGTTGTCAAAAAAAATTGTGAAAAATGCCAGTTTTAATTTCTTATTTTTTGCTCATTTGACCAACAGTCCAAATTCCAAAGATGTTCAAGAGAAGCATAAATTACTCACAACCAGAGAGTCTGGCATTTTTGCTTGAAAAATGGCTAAGAAAATTAATTGATTACTAAATTTTCTATCGATTGACGAATCACTTAATCAACTAATCGTTGCAACCATGGATGGGTGACACTGTTGGGGTGACATTTGAACGGTTACCATGGTTGGATGTATTTAACACCAATATCTCCAAATTCAATTTAGTTGTATATTATGCCCATTAATGGCATGTACCATCATCACAGTAACAGAGGCCATTGCCCTGGTTGCTTCCTCCTGTATATCATCCAGTCATAAATATATGAACAAGGAGAAATTTAAAGGTCCCCATGAGTGGATACAGACAGTTTGAGAGATTCAAGAGATTCACAGAAAACGATGCATGTGTGGAATCCATTGTCACTGTTTGTAAATCTCATCGATATAAGCCTTTCACTTTTTGACAGTCATATCAGAGCTATGAACTTAGTGCTGATACAAACCCAATATTTTGTACTCCAGTCATATGTAACATGAAATTAGCTGCAATTACTGATGACCGACTTCTTCATTATGACAATATACGCTGCACTGTAAACAGATACAACAGTTGCTCAAAGAAACTTCAGGATTACAATAATTTCATCCCAATTTTAATAACTTTGTCCTCAGTTATTTGTGACTATGTTGGTCTCAAAACCCTTTTAGATAGTATTTAAGTTGGTGTATACAGCAGTTAGTACCTTTTTTTACTTTATTTTGTGTATAGTAGACACTCATCATGTATAGTATATACAGCAGTATTCTAGTTACCTGCAGTATCTATACGATGCACCTGTTCTTGTATGATACTGCAACACTTCAGTTTCCCTGTATGGCATCAATGAAATTTATCTTATCAAACAGATGAAATAATGTTTAGGATATTTCTAAATGAGCCTCCAGAGAAGAGAGTGTGATCTCTGTGGAGTGAGCCATCTATCAGTCGTCAGCTGACCTGGTGAGCCAAAGACTTTGTCCAGCAGACCTCATGAGCAATATTCAATTATGCACATGTAACAGAAAGTACTCGCTCATTAAACTGGAGCGAATAAACTGAACTGACACATTAATGAGCGACTGAATACATAGATGAAAAACTGCAGACAGTAACAAACATTTGGAGAAGTAGCATGAAATTGCTTTTGCTTGCTAACAAGAACCCAGGCAGCTGAACACTCACAGCTCCTCTTAATAAAGCTCCATAAACAATGAGCACTCCCAACTGTCCGAGCAAACATCATTTAGACTGTAGCTTGTCATTGTAATGATGACAGAATCAAAGCTTTACATGATTCAGAAGATGCAGCATATTTGTTACAATACTGAAAATATGTTAAATTGTACTGTCCACATTTTAACACCAGAAAACAAGAAAAAAACATGACTCTCTCATCTCAATGTGAGCTAAAAAAAAAAAACACCTCTAAAACACAGCACACCACATCATTCTCCACCTGCCAGGAAGAAAATGAACAACTCTTCAACCCCCTCCTCCCTTTGCCATCCGTCTCTCTGCATCACTTCATCTTTCAGACAGTAGCAGCTACCCTCTTGTGCTTCAAAAACAAGACATGCCGTCATTAAACCCTTTCTGTGCTGCAAAATGATCACTAAAACTTCACCTTCCCTTCAACTCCTGATTGCATCCCACCTAATTACACCACTGACACTCCACCTCTCCACTGCAGATAATTAACAGTATGGTGGGAGAGCAATGACAACTTATGAATATGTAAATCTGACCGTGATTGAACATGCATCCACTTCTCTTTTAGTTTCCTTACAACCTTTTTTTTTTTTTTTTTTTTAATTTCCCTGAGAATTATGCCTTTCATCTTTGCATACTCATAAGGTGCGCAGTGTAATAATACACCCATACAAACAAACAAAAACACACACACACACACACACACACACACCCCTCCACCCTGATGCCGTATACAACTCCCTGTGCTGTCCTCTCCCAGGCTGTAACCCAGCCATGTAATGAAGGCTATAAATCAGCACCTTGGACAGCACTAGGCAGCCCTGAGCTCCTCAATATACATACTACTGGAGTCCGGAAGGAGGGGGGGGGGTTTCAGCACCGAGGAGAGTGGACAGCGACAGCCTCTGACATTCCTACTGTAAAGAGGCGAAAAGCCCTCCCTATCTGGAGCTGCCCTGCATAGTACTGATGACTAAACAGAGTTATTCAGGTTGTTGCACAGCTAGCTTAGCAAAACTGTGATTCAGATGAAAGGGATGTGTGTGCGTGTGTATGTGTATGCGAGTGTGCGTTTGTAAGTGAGGTCTTATCCTGATAGATGCTGCTACTGCAGAGTGACAAAAAGACAGAGATAGGGAGAGAGTGACACAGGGAGAGAAACATAGAGAGCCTCTAAAATGTGTTGGGGGGGAGGTGGTGGGGGTGGGGTCGGTACTTATCCACCTCACTGAGGGTCCCAACACGGCTCTGTGCACATTACATGCATAGGTTATATGTACGCATTACCCCGGAACGGATAAAAAGGGACGGCCTGACAAATGAAACAGTCTGACGTCTATATAAAGCTGCAGAGACAATGAGTTACAGCCACACAGTTTTCAGCACGTTAACATGTGCTCAGTATGAACATGTGTGCGAACTTTAAAACACTGCTCTGCACACATGGATGCGTACAGATACATGTAAATCAGACAGTGAATATGAGCACACACGCAGACAGCCATGCATATTAGCTCGACACTTCTGCATGCGCAGTTTTGTGGCTTTATGTCATGCACGGTAACCTGCCCTTGATGGTTCCAATTCGTCGCACTTATAAACGGGGTCATGCTTCAAACCCGCCGCCAACCTCTTACAACTGCTGTCCATGCTCTTAGCGCACCATTGTAATCCCCCCCGCAAAAAAAGAGATGCCCGCATTAAGTTAAATATTCATGTTCCCAGCGCTGGTCTATTTTTATCATTAAGCCCTCACAGGTAGGAGAAGCAGCATAGTGACTGTTCTCTCATCCGCAACCTGTCTCTCCAGTGCATCCCTGAGAGCCCAGGACTGACGACAACGGGGAGATTTGTGCATGACAAAGAATGGGAGACATGAAAGAGTAAGAAAAAAAAAGCTGAGACAAATGTGAAGAGCAAACGGGGGGAAAAAAAAAAGAGGCCAGTGAGGGAGAGAGCTGAACCTTAAGAAACAGAGAGAGAGAGAGAGAGATGTGTGCAGAGCTACAACAATCCCTAACATATGGCGGAGAGGAAAAAGAAATACTGCCGGTTTGCAGCTTCTGCACAGGCAAGTGAAGAATCCTCAGTTCTAATGAACCAATGGGTATGAAAACAGTAGCCAAACTAAAGTTAGGGACTTTCACTGCATTCATGACCCTAATGCTGTTCCAAAATGTGCAGTGCTTGGCACTAGAAAGATCGGTTCAATTTCCACTGTGGCCTGAGAAGATACGTGCTCCCTGCTGAACACTCGCATCACGGCTCTGCACAAACCAGCGACCTACAGGTTCTTTCAAGAAAGCCTGCAGAGACTGAGGACTGGGCTGAGCGATGGGGATTGGATGGAGGGCTGATTTTGACAGCTGGGGGCGATGGGATTACCAGCAATGCTGGTTTGGTATCTGTAATTATGAGTAGCTATGTGTGTCTGTGTGTGTCCATGTGTGTGTGTATTATTGCGTTTGCGTGTACACATGCCCATACCGCCTGGCCACAGAGTGCCATATGTGGTGGGAGTATTTACCCTGCCATGAAGAATGGATGAACCATAGGACAGCTGCACCAGAAAACGCTCTGTACTGTGTGTGCACATATGTGTGATTGTATGGTTGTGTGTGTGTGTGTGTTACTGCAAGTGAGTGTATGGACAAAGCTGTAATGCCCTTACGCTCACCATCCATCGTACGGAGTGAGCCCATTACTATTCCTGTCACAACAGCCTTGCAGTAAGAGCAGCAGAGGAGGCAAGCAGGCCGACCACCGTACGATGCTGTAACACACACACACACACACACACACACACACACACACACCAACTCAATGACCGCTCACTGCCATCAGGCTGTGTGTGTAAACCTCAGTCATGCATGTTGTGTGTTTTATGAGCTATATCTCCGCTATATGTATTTTCTCCCCCTCACTATGTATTTACGTGGGCTGATGTACAGTATCTGTGTCTCTTGCATTGCCATGTGAACATCCCTGTACATGCATATCTTCCTGTGTGTGTGTGTGTGTGTGTGTGTGTGTGTGTGTGTGTGAGAGAGAGAGAGAGAGAGAGAGAGAGACTGCATGACACAACCCATCACTCACCCTGGCTTTGCGCTCCCCCGTCCCCCTCCTCTGTGTCGGTCAGGTTGTTAAGCATCCCGGCTCCTCTACGGTCCTCCTCTTCTGCTGCGGAGCGATGTCACCGATCAAGCTCTCGGCGGCTCTCCCTGCGCTCCACGCACTGTGATACAGCCACAGAAATCGCAGGGAAGCAGCGTAGAAAATATGCCAGCCGGATCCTCCTCACTCCTCTTCGCTCCTCGCTGCCCGTAGGACGCACGAAGAGAGGCAGCAGAAGAGAGAGAAGGATTTTTTTTCCCTTTGTAGATCCTCCTCTTGACGTCTCTTCTCCGCTGGCTTGTAAGCGTGACTCTCTCGCTCTCTCTCTGTTGCTCACCCACTCTCTCTCTCTTCCTTGTTCTTCCTCTCTGTTGCTCTCTCTCTCTCTCTCTCTCTCCCCAGGAGGTGGGGGGGGGGTCGGAGGAGGAGGGGGAGGGAAGAGGGAAGCTGCAGGAGTTTGGTGGATGATGGAATGCCTCAAAGCTGCACACTTGCTCTCTCCCTCCTTCTCTCTTTCCTTCTGTCTCTTTTTTGCCTCTCACACCTGATCTCGATCTCACCCACTCACAGATACAAAAAAAAAAAAAAACTCACTCTCCGCTGCTCAGATGATGCTGCTCAGTCATTGTAGCCGCCAAACTGATTGCACATTCAAACAGTAGTGTGATTTCTTCTGTATCTATCCCTCCCCTCCCCTCCCTCCCTCCCTGCCTCCCTGCCTCTCTCTTCTCATCGCAGCTGTCAGACAGAGAGGTGATTGGGGAAGCAGAATTGATGCTGTTAGAAGAGCGAGCAGGCGGTAGCCTCACTGCTCTGATGTTTTCTGTCCACAGAGGTGCATTATGCATCGGCTTCTCCTCCTGTCGGCTTTGTAATAAGCCGCTGCGCTCACTCCCTACTTTAATGTCAGATGCAAATAGAGCCTCTGTTTCCTTCAAGGGATGAACAAGCCCTATCAGCATCATCTGTATGCAGTTATGATAAACATGGAGAGCCATGTACTCAGATGCACAAGCACATGGAACGACGCACCGTCTCAGCATTCAGGTGCAAGAGCAAGTGTCTGGTTTTGTGAATGCACAATTGCACACACACACTTGCTTCTCTGCTCTCTGTGTATATGCAGCAAACAAGTGTGGTTCTTTATCTTTTAAATTTATTTTTTCTTTTAATCTACCGTTAACGTGCAGAGATGTTTGGTTCCAACTCAGAGGACCTGCATGCTGTATGGCGGCGGCACAGCGTTGAAGCCTCACTGTCAATTAAACCAGTCTCATTTTGATCCATGCAGATTCATTTTGATCTGGTACACTGTGTACCGTGAGCAAAAATGTGCATAGTATGAAGACACTCTGCTCGTGTAGGTGTGTGTGTGTGTGTGTGTCTATGTCCCAGCGGTTGTGATCCCACACCAGAGATATGAAAGCAATTAATCTTGGTTTTAGTCATGGTAGTGCTGATGCACAGAATAGATTTCAACAAAAAAGAGAAGGAGAAAAAATATAACTACACGCTCGGCTCCAGCGAATAAATTTATTACCAATGTCTGAAACAAAACCGGTTTTGTCAAGGTACAATTACCTTGACAAAGAACCAATACCTTGAAGCTTGGCAATAAATTTCTTCGCTGAGCTGTGTGTACAGATACATTTCTCTCTCTGTTCATTAGTACTCGCACCATAAACAGCTTGTTCGTAACAACAAAAGACATGACGACACAAATGAAACTATAATATCCACTGGAGAAGAGTTTCTCCATTTACAGAGCTCAAACATTCAGGTGGTTCAGCTGTGTAATGAATGACCTACTCAACACTGTTTATGCAGATAATAGGTGTAATTTCAAGCAAGCAATCTGATGTTTAAATGTGCAGGGTCTGACATCAAATCTGATCATTTTCACTGGTTGATATTAAGAATGTCACAAGAACCGATACTTAGGTCAAGGCCAAAATTCTGAAAATTCTGCTGGTACTTGTTTTTCTACAGTGCCGTATGTACCAAAGGTACCGTAGATGTTGTAGGTAATGGAGATGTGATTCTTCCAGGACGGATGAGGGCAGCACAATAACCCTACAACCACTCTAGTCTGATATCCAACTCAAAGAGAAGGAGGCAGGCTCAGTAAACAATAACGGCAACACGTGGAATGGCGGCAGCAAGTGCAGGTGCAGCAACAGGTCTGCTTAGACCGCTAGACTGTGTATGGAGATATTTTGTATTTGAACACCTCAAACTTAACTACAGGCATTGGGATCTGTACGCAGAATTCAGGGTGAGTGAGTTTCCGTTGTTAACTTTATATTAACATGTCATCAAAATGTTCATGTCCTGAAATGTTTCCATTATTGTTTGTGAATTGCGACAGCTGGCATCTAGCATTAATCATTTTTGAATCGCAACCTCGATTCACACCCATCTTCAACTTCATTTTCACATGACAACAACTCTGCTATGTTCGCATCAGCAGGAAGATCCGTTGCATCAAACCAATCGCTCCCTTTTCTCCCCACGCCGACACAACGAATGACAGAACTGTGTTACATCACGTGATGATCTATTCACAGGAAGACGGGGAAGATTTAAAAACATTTCTAATGTGTGTATCTTGGTAAAAAGCTAAATGAGTCAGATAGATTATGAAATGCTTCAGCTGTCTGAAACTTAAACAGTTTGTTTCCTGTTTTACTGTCACCGGCATATTGTTGGTTGCGGCGCAGTATGTGTAGTCTGGGGGAGGAATAAATGAACATGCCTCTGCTCCTGTTTGAAGCCTCACAGGGTTGAATTATTAGACCGTGCCTACTGAAAAAGGATTATGATGAAGGTTTACACCATCCTTGGTTTGCACTGCCGTGTTAGATCATACAGCATAGTGCTCCGTCCTCAGCCCGGCGTCAATCCCCACCGGACGTGTTACGGCAGCGCAGCGCTGCCTTGCGAGCCAGCCATATTCACGCAAGAATACGGAACGTACGCGAGATCGTTGCTCTTGATACAGTACAGAGCGGTTCATATTAACAGAGTGGCGACAGCTTTTGATGTCGCCACTCTGTTATATCAACCGCTCTGATACATAATGTTGATGTGAAGTTAGATGACGAGCGTGTTGTGTTTTATTTTGAAAGGGGGTGGATTTAGCAACGGGAGCGTCAAAAATGGAACTGCTACGGATTGATAGCGCTGCGGTGCGGTGAGCCGCTGCTGGGACGCTGCTGGCACGTTATGCCCCACATAACAAAATACCTCAATCTTTTGCAGTTACTTTTTTATTGTTTGTTTTCAAAGATGTTTACTAAAAAAGTTGTGCTTTTTGCACTATAGCCTACCTCTGTTAGATTGGCAATAATAAGAAGAACTCTGGTACTGAGGGGGCATGTGAAAGTAAATGTCTTAATTCATACAGATAGAGGTTTACTGCCTTTTTGCACATCATATTTTTGATTTATTTTATGTTCAAATTGTTCATATGCTGCTTGTTCTACACACTTTCTGATAATAAAAGCATTTGAAAATAGTAAAATGTTCTCCCTTCAATTTATATCTTTGTAACAAGTGTTTGGAACTATATTCAAACCATCAAAGACAGGTATTTCGTCTTTTTTTAAATTGAAAAATTTAAAAATTTAATCCATTAAAATCCATCCAAATCCATATCGGTCGGGCCCTACAGCATAGTATATAATCTTTTGTTTACATTGTGAGAAGTGGATACCCTGGTTGTGCAAAGCTGATGGCTCATCAATTTCAGAAATGATCATACTCTTTTCCATCATCCTAAAGAAAATATGTAATGCAATTATAATAAATAGAGAGAGAATATCATAATTCACATTTTACCGCGCAGCCCTAGTTGTAGCAACGCTCAACGTTAACACAGGCAACATTATCCTGTTGAGGACAACATAGCGACAGCTCACAACATTAGCAGGCTACTGTCTTCCACGTCTGTCAAAATACAACCTTGACCTTTTAAATGAACATTTTCACACCATGGGTCTGTGACCTTGATGGTCAAATTAAACTACTGCTGGCACACTGACTATACAGAGGTGTGTGCATGTGTGTGTATATGTTAGCACATTGAGTGTGCAGCAGCCTCTGTTGTTTTTTGTTTTTTTTGCTGTGGTATCTTGGTATTGAGAATTGTGGAATTTCATCAATATTGGTATCGACCACAAATTTCTAGTATCATGGCATCCCTAGTTGCTACACCAGTTCTTGCAATGACCAGAAAAGCAGAGACTTCTCTTAGATATCTCTCATAGAGATCTCTCTTTGATAAACAACTCTGAAGAAAACAGGATACTGTATTGTTACCAACAAGGGCATTATTTACTGTAATAATGGGTACACTACTGATTTGGGCACACTACACTGTCCCAACTACCCTGGCAAAGCACTTCATGTCGCACATTTCTGATGTAACACCAGCTGCAGTATGTACAGTGTCCATGGACAACATTCAGACCCCTTTGTGTTTGCACTTTGTTGTGTAGTACATTTAATTTTAAATGGGCAACAATTTTATCCAACAGTCTAAACTCAATAACCCATAAAGTCAATCTGAAAACATGTTTTTAAAAATGTTTGTGAGTGTAACTCTTTTACAGAGATCTCCTTTACAATAGCCTTTAAACCCCTTAATTCAGTAGTTTGTAGAAGCCCCTTTGGCGGCAATTACAGCTTTGAGTCTTCTTGAGTAAGACTCTATAAGCTTTGCACACCTGGATTTGGGCAGTTTATCCCATTCTTCTTGACAGATCCTCTCAAGCTGTGTCAGATTGGATGGGAAGCCTCTGTGAACCTTCATCTTCATGTCTCTCCACAGATGTTCTTTGGACTTTAAGTCTGGGCTTTAGCTCGGCCACTCAAGGACACTCACAGACTGTTGTGATGAAATGTGATGTGTTGCCCCAGTCTAAGGTCACATGCACTCTGGAGCAGGTTTTATGGCCAACTCTAGGAAGATTCCTGGGGTTTTCTTCTTCCATTTTAGAACTGAGGCCAGGAAGCTCCTGGGAACACTCAGAGCTTTAAATATGGTTTTATACACTTGACTAGATGCCTTGCAACAAAATTTTATCGCAACAGTCTACAGAGGGCTCCTTGGACCTCATAGCTTGGTGTCTGTACTGACATGCAATGTGAATTGTGGGACCGTATACACACAGTTGTGTGCCTTTCTAAAATATGTCCAGTCAATTTGCCACAGGTCTACTGCAGTCAAGTTCTAGACACATCTAAAAGAATATTAAAGCAAACAGGACGCAACTGACAATAACTTGGAATGCCATA